TTATTCATTTCAGTTTTAGTTTTTTTAGTACGTCAAGTTAAACTAAATTAAAATGAGAAATGTTGCCTTGGCAAATAACTTAAATTAAATATTTTATTATTATTATTATTATTTATTTTAGTTAATGTTTATTTAAGGTAACAAATTTGTATTTTATGGTTTTTGGTTTTGTTTTAGCTAACAATAATAATAGAAATAATAAAAGAATAACAATGTTTTTGTAGTTGCAGTATAGCAATTATTTATTTAATATAATTACTTAATTATTATCGTTTCAAAATGATCAGATGGTCGATCTGTAATGAATACAATACACTTTGACAGATGCTTCTTTATAAAAGTTAAATTTTTCTTATTTGTCCTTTTTTAACAGCCGTTCCAGATTGAAGGACTTTCTTCTCCCATCCTGGTGACCTTTGCTCTGGCATTCCCATTTTGAGCTTGCATCTTGCCCCCTTTTCATAGTAAATATATTAATGGATTATACAGAATGGCAAAATGCTTTTGTGTTTTTCTTGTTCGTGTATGGTGGACAGTATGTCTAATAACAGCTATACTGTACTATGAATTCCCAGTCACTAAATTAGACATGAGCAACGCACATGCTCTATATTCTTGTTTAATTATTAATGATTTTTTTTTTTTAAAGCACAGAATTGCTTATTATATCATCATATCAGGGATTTGAGTGCGGGCACTTGCACCAAAAAGAAAAAAAATTCAGAACCATCTCTGAAAATAAATTATTTAAACCGCTGCTGGGCTTAAGAAAACCAAAAGGTTGTTTTTAACCCAGCATTGTCACAGTCTTCAGCCGGTGTGCCCAGGAGGGCACATGGCTTGTGTTGTGTTTGTCTGTTGCCATGTGCTCTCTCCTGTCTATTGTCTGGCCCCTCCCATCTTGTTACCTCGTTATTGTTTTAGTTGCTCCACCTGTGTCTCCCTCGTTAGCCTCCTCGTTTGGTTCCTATTTACTCTCCTTGTGTCTGCCGTCCTGTGCTGATCCGTCATTTCTCATTGTGTGTGTTTCGTGTCTGCATGTGTGCAGCTTTAGGCCTGCCTGTCTGTTTTTCCCCCTCGGGGTGGTTTGAGTTTGTTTTTGTTTCATTTTTTACTCAAATAAAATACCATTTCTCCAGCGATTGAGTCCTCGCTTCATCTCCCCGCACGCACCGTGACAAACATTTTTTAGAGTTCACAATTTAATGTGGGGAATAAAACGATGAAGCAGCTCTTTATTGTGCGTGCAGTAGTAAACGACTCTTTACTGCAGGTAAATATTATTTATATACATATATCCATAATAGTATAAAAAAATTGGAAAAAACTAAATTAATCCTCTAGTGCTGCTTTTTTTTTCATTTAACGTTTTGCATTTTTGGGGGATTTTATGGTACTAAATTATATTTAAGGAATAGTTATTATCCATGTATTACCTGTTAACTACTTTTTGAGCTTTGACCTGAAAAAAATTCCAACTTAAACTGTTTACTTAAAAGCATATTTGCTCCCCATTTATTTCCAATGCGGTTATCTATCTATCTATCTGTTATGGGGCTGACAAGACGTGAGACATGCGGATCCATGTGCAAGCTTTATTAAAAGCAGAGGAGGTCAGAAACACAGGCAGGGTCGAACAGTGGCAAACAGGTATATGGCGGGCAAGACACAAAAATAGTCCTAGGGCTAGCGTAGGTCAACGATCGGCAAACAGAATCACAAGGGCGAGACTAGAGGGATAAATCCAGGAAAATAGGCAAAGATCAGAAACCAAGAAAACAGACGAGGCAGACTAAGCTAAGGCAGGGTAAAATAAACAGGCTCCGTAGTGTAGCTATCAAAACGATAAGCGCTAAACAATACTTGGCAGTTAGAAAGGAGTGAGAATGAGTGTTAAATAGTGAGTGAGTGATATGAAACAGCTGTGTGCAATCAGTGCTGTGTGCAATCAGTGTAATGAATGATGGGATATGTAGTCCGGGGTGATATGCAACAGTGTGTAGTGCGAGAGTCAATGAAAATGGAAAGGGTGACCTCTGATGGCTAGCAGACGGAAGTTCATGGACCGGATACGTAACACTATCTATCTATCTATCTATCTATATGTCTATCTGTCTGTCTGTCTGTCTAGATAAATAAGGACAGTTAAGTGTTAGAAACACTTCTGGGTATTTTTATTCATTTCCAGCTTAGGCAACAAAAATAACAGCATCCAAAGTCCTCTGAAGCTTTAATTATTAATATAAAGTGGCCTCATTGCTGTATAAAAAATACAAAAATAAAAAAATTAAATAAAAAAATTAAATTAAATGTAGTGCAGTCAATAAACAATGCTGAAGTAGCAGTGTAGATCTGAAAATATCTGAGAGTGAAGATAAAAAGAAAAAGAAGAAAGAAAGAAAGAAAGAAAGAAAGAAAGAAAATGATGGGATATGTAGTCCGGGGTGATAAGCAACAGTGTGTAGTGCGAGTGTCAATGAAAATGGAAAGGGTGACCTCTGATGGCTAGCAGACGGAAGTTCATGGACCGGATACGTAACACTATCTATCTATCTATCTATCTATATGTCTATCTGTCTGTCTGTCTGTCTAGATAAATAAGGACAGTTAAGTGTTAGAAACACTTCTGGGTATTTTTATTCATTTCCAGCTTAGGCAACAAAAATAACAGCATCCAAAGTCCTCTGAAGCTTTAATTATTAATATAAAGTGGCCTCATTGCTGTATAAAAAATACAAAAATAAAAAAATTAAATAAAAAAATTTAATTAAATGTAGTGCAGTCAATAAACAATGCTGAAGTAGCAGTGTAGATCTGAAAATATCTGAGAGTGAAGATAAAAAGAAGAAAGAAAGAAAGAAAGAAAGAAAGAAAGAAAATAATTTTAATGCATTTTTAATGCATATTTTTACTATTATTTATTATGCAGGGGTTTTTTCCCCCAGAAGTTCCTTTTTTGTGCATATATTTGAATTTCTTATTCTATATTAGATTTTACTTTATTTTATTCATTTTATTTGATTTTTTTTTTAAACAGAAGATCTTGTTGTTGTTGTTTTTTGGGCATACATTTTCTTATTTTAATTTTCTTAATCTTTTTCTTGCACAGATTTATTTATTTATTATTATTTTTTTTGCATGTACAGTTTGCATCCAGATTAATGTCTGAAACTTGTTGGAGCAAAAGCAGCTGGTGACAGTCTGCCGTGAACACTTCAGTCTTCATTCATCTCTTCTTCTTCTTCTTGCTGCTTTTTTAGTTCTCGGAAAGTTTCCTCAAGGCATATTCCAATTCACGACCTTATGCACTGTTCTAAGCAATTTTAGTAGTGTTTTCACACAGAAAATTCCAAACAGAAAAAGTGCACTTCAAATAGTGAGGTCTAAATAAGGTCAATTTAAACGCATTGCATTGTGAGATACAATATGTTGCCCAGTGTGCTCTGGTACTGCACATTTTGTCAAGCTCATCCATGTCTTCCATGCATACAGAAAGTTAGCGTATATCATTTACATATTATACTGTAAAATTAAACTTGAAAAATAAAAAAATATCTTCTAAGGAGCAGCTAATGCACCATTAGCTGTTGTTTTTGAAGCTCATTTCTCATACCTAGATCTGTGGACTGCCGTCATTTGGCTCATGCAGCCTCAAAATAGTTTCCCTCCTCTTGAAGCGTGCTGCATTGCTATTGTTTTCAAGGGCTGCGAATTGAGGGAAGAGGAAGCATGTTTTGCGTGGTGCACTCTGTGTTTTCACATGGGCAAACTGCCACTGAGGAAGCAAAGCTATCCTGATCACAATACATGCTGGAAAATGCTCAGCCGAGCAGTGCGGATATACAGCAGCCGTTCACAGACTACTGCATGACCCGCTGACCCCATGCAGGCTTTAAATAAAGTCACTATGCTGCTCTGACCCTGTGACCCATGACTGGCTTCCCCTGACCCACATTTTAATTCGAAAGTGAATAGGAGAAAGCAGAAAGACTTTTTGAATCTTACTAACTCGTCACCAAGAAGGTTCAGGAATTAGTAAGACGTAAAAAAAAGAAAAGAAGATATTTTGAAGAATGTTGGTTACCAAACAGTGGCTGGTAGCCATTGACTTATGCTGTGTTCATGCCATGTCGTAATTACTGTAATTCCGAGATGACAACACGTGATGTTCAACTCAGTGCTATTCACGTCCTCGGACTGGGGATTATCTGTTTCTATAAGGACAGTCAACAAAATGAACCCACATGAATGTTACTGGCAGCTGTAAAACACAACACAACAGTTGCTATGCAAATGCATCATTAGTACACTTTATAATTATTTCTTTAGGTTGTTATAACATGGATAGCCTAGATATCTGACTCTGCGCTGCAAGTATTTCGTTTATGTTCACATTACTTTCGTATGAAGACATCTACATTGGCAAAAGTCAATTACACGAATTTTAAAACATAAATATTACAAAATAACATTTAAGTTAGCTCTCAGAAAACTCCCAGTTCACAAGTTGTAATTACGAGTTCTATGAGGATGTGCACTTTTTACAAGTTGGTAGCTCGTAATTATGGTAATTACGATATGGCGTGAATGCTCCTTTACTACTTTTTTTTCTCCATACGTCAATGGCTACACCAACTATTTGGTTTCCAACATCCTTCAATATATGTTCTTTTGCATTCAACAGAAGAAAGAAATTCATACTGGTTTGGAACAACTTGAGTGTTAGGAAATGATGACAGAATTTTCATTTTTGAGTGAACTATTGCTTTACGACTGATCAGAAAACTATGGAAAAAATATTTTTATAAGGTAACTGCATTTTTTTTTAGCAATTCTGACTCCTATTGTGAGAATACATCACAGTTATGACTTATTGTTGTGCAAATCTAGGACATCATCTCAGAATTGTGAGATATAAACAGAGTTGCAATATGTTCACTCACAATTCTGAGAAGAAAAGTCCAAATTGTGAGATCTAAACTCAAATTTGAAAAAAAATTGTGAGATAAAACGTTGCAATAGATCTTATTTATTTAAAAAACAAATAATAATACTAATAATTGCAAAACGTAAACTCAGAATTGATAGAACAAATTATCAAAATTATCAGAATTCTGAGAAAAAGCAAGTTGATTTTTTTTCCTTTTCTTTTCTTTTCTTTTCTTTTCTTTTCTTTCCTTTTCTTTCTTTCTTTTTTTATTTATATATTTTTTTTAATTCCATTGTGGAAACAGGCATCCAAAACAGAATTTATGTATTTAGTTATTTTTCAGAAATATTAATTTGCAGTTTCAAACTCTACAGTTTATCCAAATTTTCAGCCTTGCATAATAACATGCATGTATTTTTCGAACTGTTAAAAATTTATTAAATATGATTTATTAATTTTGTAATTAATTAGAGACATAATTTATATTGTTTAGAGCAGTTTTTCAGTCTGTTTGCATATACATATTTGTTTTTTTGTTTTTATCTCAATATGTGCAGTCTCTGCACGTTACTATAACCTCCAATAGCCTTTGCTCAAATCTCAAACTTGCACCTAAACAATAAAACACTGCGAAAGAGAGCATCCAGGGGGATTTCCCATAATACAGCACTGTTTCCTTCTCTTCAGTCACCGCCTAGAGCATTGAAAGGCGTGAACTGGATATACCACACATTTAGTCCACACTGTGAAAGTAAAAGCTCCAAAGCTTTAAAATACATTAGTAAAAAGTAAAAATACAATAAAAACTGTAATATAGTCATTCATTCCTGTGATGGCAAAGCTGAATTTTCAGCAGCCAAGACTCTATTCAGAATTGTTTTTTGTAACATTGCAAATATCTTTAACTGTCACTTTTGATATGTTTAATGTGTCATTGCTGAATAAAAGTAATCATTTCTTTTTGTTTTAAAAAATGGTACACATCCCTAGCTTTGGAATGGCAGTTTCCATAGAAATACAAAGCAGCACAATAATAATACAATGTTTCTTGAGCAACACGTTATAATTATGATTATAATTTCAAGTCAACATATTATAATGATTTCTGAATAACATCTAGCCTACGTGACTGCAGTAAAACTATTTGAAAAGTGGATCAAATATGACCCACATTTAAAGGGGTCATATGATGCGATTTCAAGTTTTCCTTTCTCTTTGGAGTGTTACAAGCTGATTGTGCATAGATAAGATCCCTGAAGTTGCAAAGACTAAAGTCTCAAAACCAAAGAGATATACTTTATCAAAGTTAAGACTCTGCCACGCCCCCCTAAAACGGCTCGTTCTAACACGCCCCCACATATCTACCTCACTATGTGGAAATATTTGCATAATGCGCCCAAATGTTCACGCAAAGAAAGAAGGCGTGGTTTCAGTAACCGCAGTTAGTGTTGAAGCAGCATGTCAGGGAGACGCTGTGTGTTTCTAGGCGAAAGCAAAAGCACTTTATTTGGCCTTCCGAAAGTAGATGCATTTAGGAATCTTTAAGATTACTTACAACAGAACAGCAATGCATTTTATGGACGACCGTTTCGTGAACCTAGGAGAGGAGGTAATTCTGACTTTGCTATGACAGTCTGGCGCTTCTGAATCAGCTACTGTTTTGTTATTAGTTTAAGTATTTGCTATTGACTGTTCAAATGCGCAGTTTTGCGCATCGTGTGTGTGTGCATGCATGCGCGCGTGTGTGTGTGACAGAGTGAGAGAGAGATCACAGTGGAGTCAGCGGTCTTAACCGTGGCTTGTGTACTGCAAACACATACCAGCTTCATCACTGTGTCTGTCACGCGACTCTGTTCCCCTTTCGGGCTTGAACTGATGGTAAAACGAATGACATTATTTATTGTCTGTACAGTTATTTTGAAAGATGAAGCTCGCGATTATGGTAAGGGGCGTTACATTTCCGACGAGTGCTTGTGGTGTTCAGCCAATCACAATGCACTGGGTCAGCTGGCCAATCAGAGCAGACTGCGCTTGTCGGAAGGAGGGACTTTGTAGAAAACGAAGCGTTTGAGAGAGGCGGGGCATAGAGAACCTACAATAATGTACAGTATTTGAAAAATCATGTGTTTTTTGAACATTAAAGCATGTCAACATATTCTGTTACACCAAATACACAAAATAATGATCTTTTAAAAAGCATCATATGACCCCTTTAATCACGCTGAACAACAGACATTCTTTTTATAACTACAAATCCCATCGTCCTTTTCTTTACATCCGGAAAAGAAGAGGCCCTTCCGTCGTAATTTTGTGAATCCCACTATGGTGAAGGTTTGGGTCATGAATATTAATTATATCCCCTGACAGCCGGCTATTTGATTGGCTGAATGCAGACATAGGAAGGTGGACGTTAAGTCTGCTGACAAACAAGCCCGGGAGGGCTTGGCTCATGTTTATTAAAACAGAAACGTGACTGGACGCTCTAGGAAGGTTGCCTAGCGACGTCAGCAGGAACTAATTAATATTCATGAGCTAACCCCTGGTCATAGTGGGATTCGCAGTTCCGCTCTCCGCCCGTCAGCTGCGGGATAGGCAGACCGTCGGAAGTTTTGTGGGAGATGGGCTGGAAGTCCAGCACAGGCAGACCGAACACTGCTGCACAGGAGTTTCACAGCTGCTTATAAGTGTGTAAGTTATCTACACATATACTAACGAGACACATCGTGGCGTATTAAACTTTGAATGCGTGTTATTGGTTGTGTTCAAATCAGTGACGTTAGTTACAGATGTACAGGGGCAGTTCACTAGCTCACTTTATGCAAAACCTCTCGCTTCTGTTTCAGACAGCAGGTTACCGATCGAAACACATTAAATCATTTAAGCTAGTCTTGACATGTAAATCATTTTTGATCTCGCGCTCAGAAATGATAGATTGATTTTGTCTGAAGATATGGCATTGATGCGTTATGTCTGTACACAGCTGTTAAACCTAGTGCACTGCTTAACTAGACAGCATTTTTGGACATTACAAGCATGAATGGAACGCACAAACGCGCCTGTGATGCTCGTAAATGCTGTAGAAGTACCTGTAATGTGGTGATATCATGGTACAACGATGCAGTGATAGTATCAGGTGATATGGCACTGAGATGAAAAAAAACTATGGTAGTACCATTGTGCTTATTCTGTTTGTTTGTTTGTTTGCTGGTGAAGTGAAGATACAGATGTTAATCACTGTTTTGATCTAGAGTTCAAAGTGCCGCCCACTTGTTCAGTGGCCTTGGTTTTTTTTGAGGTATAGAGAATCTTTCCCTTAGAGAATTTAAAATCTTTGTTAAAATATTATAGGCAATGAACCAAACCAACCAGCTACAGAGTGAATCACTATGTTACAAACTAATTTTAAGCAAAAAGAAAAGAAAGAAAACCTGACAAAAGACAATGGTACAAGACTGTGCACTTAATGGCTTTAATCATAATGGACATCTATAAAACTATTGATTTAGGGTAGGGATTGATTACGATTAATCACATTCAAAATAAACCTTTGTGTTTACATACTACATGTGTGTGTGTGCTGTGTATATTTGTGACCCTGCACCACAAAACCAGTCATAAGGATCAATTTTCTTTTTATTGAGATTTAGATAATATAGTGCTGGGCGGTATGACCAAAAATGTATATCACGGTATTTTTCAAAATTATACCGGGTTCACGGTACATGACGGTATTTTTTTTTCATGCATGACTGGGTGTTAACCATGTTTTCTACTGATTGAGAGAGGAAATACTGCAGTATATTGACTTAGAATGCCCTATTTTACTGTCATGATGAGTGAATATTGTCAAAAAATACCACACTAAATAGTGACTAAACACGACCCCTTTTAATACATGTTAACCAGGAGTCACTCTCATTTATAATCGCGGCATCGTCTGATAAAATCAACATGCATCTACACTAAAGAGCGGCTATGCGGTTGTTTTTGCTATATTACTTTTTTATGCACTGCCTGCATCTGAGTAACAAACTAAGAAGAGAAAAAAAAGTGCATGTGATATTAACAGACGAACTACGCTCATATTTATAATTCCAAGCAATCAGTAAGCGACAGGTGCTTGGAAACGCTGTTTTGTACTCATTTATTGACGAGTCGGCTGCGGTGCAGCCAACTGAATGCGCTGCTTCTCTGCCGCTCACTGCACAGAACAGACGCCGAGAGAGGTGACACTTCTCCGGGAAAGTCAGACCTCGCGTTCGCGGGACAGCACTGGCGAAATCTTCCAACTGAACCATAGCTATGGTTTATCCAAAAAAGTCGCTAGGTTTGTCAGTATGAATATTCTATGGAAAAAAGCCGCTAAAAGGGTCTGAAAGTTGCTAAATCTTGTGCTAAAGTCACACTAACAAAAATAAACACCAGTATTCGGTATGAACCGGTATACCGCCCAGCACTAATATAATATAAATAAATAAGCTTTCCATTGATGTATGGTTTGTTAAGATAGGACAATATTTGGCAGAGATACAACTATTTGAACATCTTCTGAGGGTGCAAAAAAAATACAAATATTGAGAAAATCACCTTTAAAGTTGTCCAAATGAAGTCCTTAGCAATGCATATTACTAATCAAGTTTTGATATGTTTACGGTAGGAAATTAAAAAAAATATCTTCATGGGACATGATCGTTACTTAATGTATAATAAGTATGTGACTTTTATTTTGAATGTGATTAATCGCGATTGATCTTTTTCCAGTCCTAATTTAGAGATGTGGATGATATAGAAACAGTATATTAACAATATATCAATTTATTTCAAAGGTTCAAATTTCGGACACAGCCCTTGTTTCAGTTTTTTGATTTATTTATTTGAAATAAATGCTGAAATAATGTAGGCTGAACCGCTTCAACAAAAGTGTATCCCTTCGATTACAACCACATAATTCATAGGTCTGTTGTATACGTTTTTATGAATGGGATTTTTTTATATATATCTGGAACCCAACTGTTGCACTATATTGTGGTTTTCTCTTCAATTTCATTAGCTTACCTCTTTCTAAATTACACTACCACTATTGCCATCCCTGTTTCTTCAGTAATCAATAGTAGTACCATGGTAATATCATGCTGTATCAAGAATGGTACAGCCATGGTATTCCTATTTATTAATTTTTTTGGCATTGTTATTACTCATTTGTCACAAATCTGTCTTTGCTGCAGTGTAAAGTAGTTTGGGCTCATATATTGCAGACCTTAATCGGATACATTGCATTTTGTTTTTGATTACTGTATGGAATTGTTTGTATTATTATTGCATTATTGTATGGAATAGAGCTGTCAAAAATAGAAAATTATGAATAATAATAATAATTTTAACTAACAACTATAGTAAATGCCATAATTTCATATTTAGGTGAACTAGTCTTTGAATGGCTGCACTGGGTTCTGTATTTTCATGGCAGTTATTCCACAGTTTCCTGTTTCCACACAAACACTCATGGGTTCTGAGTTAGGAACCGTGTAAGTTGATGAATGCATTTTTTTAATAGCTCTCTAACCCACTCATGTACAGCTCACTGCACCTATTGTTTTCTTACATAAACAGTTTCAATTAGAACTGCTGATTACTTTCATGATAATATTAATATGACATTACTATAAAAAATTAATTTATTTTGATATTACAGAAGCGTAAGCAGTAGGATTGTAACATGAAGAGTGGATGGAATAGTTTTCCAACTTTCCAACACGCCAAACGATGCAGAATTAATGGGCTGTTGTGTGATGTTATGCTCAAGGTATTTTGCTCAAGGAAGATATGTCAAACCTGTCAAGCAAGTATGTCAAGGGTATCAAATATATATCAAAGTTCCTCCAAAACTGCAGTGCTGAAGTGAAAACATTCAGGTGTTGTGCTGGGGTCTATCCAAACAGTTTTGTACAATAAGCAACATAGAGTTTGTACACACATACCATATTGCATGGTTAAAAAGTAAAAGTTTTGGGTCAAAAAGGTTTATTTCCTTCTTTAGAAAGAAATTAATATATATGTATATATATATATATATATAATTCATTTCTTGTTTTCACATGATCCTTGCACAATACTGCATGATGACCTAATTACACTTTTAGAAGACTTATAGAAGCAAGCTAAAATGGCTGGTTTGCTTCAGCAAATGCGTTTTAATTTCACGTTTGCTTTTGTTAATACTAGGCCTATAACACTAGGGTTTGATGTAGAGATGAAACAGTATGAACATTTCATATCTTGATACTGACCAAAATGATCAGGGTTATCAATATTATCACGGTATTGTTCAAATGTTCTGGAAATGTTCAAAAAGTGCTCATACACACTGAAATCATTTCACCAAGTGTTATATTGAAAACCAAAAAGCAACGAATAAAATTAGCAGCACTAGTATGCACTTTTTGTTTGCATAAACATTCGAATAATTCAAAACAAATGTCATTAAAAATGGCTTAAATATTAAACAAACATAAAATATTGACTGGGCAAGTTTTAAAAATCAGTTTGAGCAAATATGGTTTTAATGATATTTAAAATATGAAACGATAATGCTAACCGTTGGGACTTGATATCGTAGTTTCACTAATTGTTTCATCCCTAGGTTGTAGGTGCTATGTTGTTTTCAAATACAACAGCATGTACAACAACCAGCATAACAAAATATTGCCAGATTTAAGATTCGGAGAAAACTAAACACACTGTTAGAGCCAGTCACTGGACATTTCACTTTAAAATTGTCACACAACTTGCAAGAAGCAACATAATATAATTTTGCTGAAAGGCTGCCACTGGCGCGTTGTTCCAATAGGTAAGACTGTTGGAAATTATTCTCTATTGCAGCCAGTAGCTTGATACCAGTTATGCTCGGCATCAGAATACTTCACTGCTGTTTCCTCTAGATCCAGTCAATCCAGTTTGCATTTCCTTCTGGTAGTTTACAAGTTTTACCTGACTCGGAACAGTCTATGTCATGTAGAAAGATCTATCTCTTGCTAGATAATATAGCAAAAAATCTCACACTACACATGATGCAAATCTATTGACAGTGAATAAGGAAGGAAATGCCATCTTACCTCACTTAAACCTGAATCTGTCTCTCTCACTCAAACGTGAACATAAACAGAAGCATAGGGCTTGTAGGACATGTGTTCTGACAGACAGCATGCTACTGTTGCTTTTATTGCAGGCACAAACTGATTATAGGTCCTTTTTAATAAATGTGGACATTCATGGGTGTGATATATATATATATATATATATATATATGTGTGTGTGTGTGTACAGGTGCATCTTCAAAAATTTGAATATCATGGAAAAGTTCTTTATGTTTTGTAATTTAATTCAAAAAAGATAACTTTCTTATATTCTAGATTCATTGCACACAAACTGAAATATTTCAAGAGTTGTTTTGTTTTAATTCTAATGGTTACGACTTACAGCTTAGGAAAATTTAAAATTCAGTATCTCAAAAAAATTTGAATATTCCATTTTGAGCTTGATTAGTTTGATTCATTTTGAGTATAAATACTGGGTATCTCTTGGGCTAGTTTAGAAAATGCAACCACAATTATGGGGAAGACTACTGACTTGACAGTTGTCCAGAAGATGATCATCGACACCCTCCACAATGCATCTTCAAAAATTTGAATATCATGGAAAAGTTCTTTATGTTTTGTAATTTAATTCAAAAAAGATAACTTTCTTATATTCTAGATTCATTGCACACAAACTGAAATATTTCAAGAGTTGTTTTGTTTTAATTCTAATGGTTACGACTTACAGCTTAGGAAAATTAAAAATTCAGTATCTCAAAAAAATTTGAATATTCCATTTTGAGCTTGATTAGTTTGATTCATTTTGAGTATAAATACTGGGTACCTCTTGGGCTAGTTTAGAAAATGCAACCACAATTATGGGGAAGACTACTGACTTGACAGTTGTCCAGAAGATGATCATCGACACCCTCCACAAGGAGGATAAGCCACAGAAGGTCATCGCTGAAAGGGCTGGCTGTTCACTGAGTGCTGTATAGAAATATATTATAGGGGTCATATGACGTTGCTAAAAATAACATTATTTTGTGTATTTGGTGTAATGCAATATTTATGCGGTTTAAGGTAAAAAAAAAACATTATTTTCCACATAATGTACATTAATGTTGCTCCTCTATGCCCCGCCTTTCTGAAACGTGTCGATTTTTACAAAGCTCATCGGTCTGAAAAGCAAGGTGTGCTGTGATTGGCCAGCTATCGAGTGCGTTGTGATTGGCCGAATACCTCAAGCGTGAGACGGAAATGTTACGCCCCTTACCATATTGTGATGCCGTGTCCCAGCGTGACAAGACAAAAACAATAAAACCCATTATAAACGAGGCATTTGTTGCATCCAGTGTGGACATAATTATTGATTATAATGACTTTATAATCTTTTTACACGTTGCGTTACGTATCGTGCCGCGTAAACATAAAGCCATGTCTGCATTTGTGATTGGAGAAACGACAAACAACAAGCGCTACTCTACACTGCTCAAAACTCGCGTTTGAATCATCAGTGGCAAATTCTTTAAATATAAAAAACATACTTGGAGGCTGCGAGTCAGAAGCGCCAGACTGTCCTTGCAAAGTTGGAACTGCCCCACTTTATAAAAACAGCCTTTGTGCACAGCCGGGGCATTGTAAGCTACTCTGCAGGTTCAGGAAACAGTCCTCTCTAAAAATGTACTGCACACATCTGAATATTTGTGTTGAACTGTTCTGGAACAGTGTTGTAAATACAACTTAACCACTGATTTCTAGATGTGTCCTCTTTTGGGAGGCCAAACTAAGTAGTTTCGCTTTCACAATGAAACACACAGCATCACACATGGCGGGCTTTAGTGAGCGGAGGCCAGCAGGCTTGAAGGAGCGGCCGCCGGGTTTGTGGCGACCACATGTGACTACCCCGGGCTGGACTCTGCTTCGTCCACGGAGAAAGCCGATCCGGCGATCCACAGCATGAAGTTGACCAGCACGGATCAGCTCCAGGCATGACGGAGCGGATATCGTCCTCTTTTGGAAGGCCAAACAAAGTAGTTTCGCTTTCACAACGAAACACACAGCGTCTGCACGACATGGCGGCGGGAAGAACAATACTACAGCGAGAATAAAAGTTACGCCTTCTTTCTTTGCATGAACATTTGGGCGGTGTTATGCAAATCTTCCCACACAGTGACGTAGACATGTGGGGGCATGTTTAAACGAGGCATTTTAGGAGGGTGTGGACAAGTCTTAACTTTTATAAAGAATATCTCTTTGGGTTTGAGACTTTAGTCTTTGCAACTTTAGGGAACTTATCTATGCATGAACAGCTTGTAACACTCCAAAGAGAAAGGAACATTTGAAATTGCGTCATATGACCCCTTTAATAGAAAGTTGACTGGAAGGAAAAAGTGTTGTAGGAAAAGGTGCACAAGCAACAGGGATGACCTTGGCCTTGGAAAGATTGTCAGGAAAAGCTGATTCAAGAACTTGGGAGAGCTTCACAAGGAGTGGACTGAAGCCGGAGTCAGTGCATCAAGAGTCACCACACACTGACGTTTTCAGGAAATGGGCTACAGCTGTCACATTCCTAGAACCAAGCCACTCTTAAACCAGAAACAATGTAAGAAGCATCTCACCTGGGCTAATGAGCAAAAGAACTGGATTGTTGCTCAGTGGTCCACAGTCCTCTTTTCAGATGAAAGTAAATTTTGCATTTCATTTGGAAATCAAGGTCCCAGAGTCTGCAGGAAAAGTGGACAGGCACAGAATCCAAGTTGATTGAAGTCCAGTGTGAAGTTTTCACAGTCTGTGATGATTTGGGGTGCCATGTCATCTGCTTGTGTTGGTCCGCTGTGCTCTAAAATCAATGCAGCCTTCTCAGGACATTTTAGAGTACTTCATGCTTCTTTCTGCTAACTTTTTGGAGACGCTGATTTCATTTTGCAGCAGGACTTAACACCTGCCCACAGTGCTAAAACCATTTCTAACTTGTTTGCTGACCATGATATTACTGTGCTTGATTGGCCAGCCAACTCTCCTGACCTGAACCCCATAGAGAATCTTTGTGAAGAGGATGATAAGTAACATCCGACCAAACAATACAGACAAGCTGAAGGCCGCTATCAAAGCAACCTGGGCTTCAAAAACGGCTCAGCAGTGCCACAGGCTGATCGCCTCCATGCCACGCCGCATTGAAGCAGTAATTCTACAAAAGGAGCCCCAACCAAGTATTGAGTGCATAATTAAACCTGCTTTGGAGATCTTTAACATTTCTGTTTTGTAAATCTTTTTTTGATTGATCTTTGAAAAAATTTACAAATTTTTTGAGATACTGAATTTTAAATTTTCCTAAGCTGTACGTCGTAACCATCAGAATTAAAACAATAAAACTCTTGAAATATTTCAGTTTGTGTGCAATGAATCTAGAATGTAAGAAAGTTTGCTTTTTTGAATTAAATTACAAAAAATAAAGAACTTTTCCATGATATTCTAATTTTTGAGATGCTGTATATATATATATATATATGAGTCATCAGAGGTCTGGATGAGTGTATGTGTCTATATTTGTCTGTCTCTATGAATCCGAGAGAGACAGACAGAGCTCTTCCTGTGGATTAAACCTTTATTCATCATCATGACATGACAAAAAACGAGTGGCACTTTCCAACTTTATATACTACAATATAGTACGTAGCATATCCCATTGAGTTATTGTTTACATTGTCATAAACTGTATTATTGCACAGCTCTGTATAAATAAGTTGGATGTATAATTATTTCCAACTTTATCCACCTACTGTACATGTAGTATACTTATGTGAAGCAATGTATACTATCAAGCAGTTAAGATTTGCTTTACATGAGAATGTGTATAAAGTTGGATGAAATAGAGTATATATCCAACTTTAATATATTGTTAGGCAATAATATAGTTTACGTTTTGTGACTATATAAATAATCGTACAGCTGAGATTTGCTATAGAGTGTATATCTCTTTAAGTGAGTATAGTGTATGTATGTGTTATTTCCAACTTTAAAATATATTGCTGGGCATTTTGCGATGATATAGCAATCAAGCAGTTGATTTTTGCATATCATCGCAAAATGTAAACTATATTAATGCCCAACAATATAAAGCTGGATATATAGTACATTCAACTTGATCCGTGTACATGCATTAAATACACATGTAAACCATATATATATATATATATATATATATATATATATATATATATATATATCAAATCTCAACTGCTTGATTGTTAATATTCTATATTATTGCCTAACTCTAATCTGTTAAATGCAAAGTCATGAAGGTATTATTTAAACATTAAGATCAGGATTTTTTTTTGTAAAGTTGCTTTGCAACAATGTGTATTGTAAAAAGTGTTATACAAAGAAAATTTACATGAGTTTCCATGCAAAACACATATGAAAAATGCTAAAGTATTCTGGATGACCGCTAGATCTCTAGGGTTCCACCTTCATTGTAAATCAATGAAAATGCAAACCCACATTTTAATTTGATTGTCTGCTAGACAGACAAAAAAAAAACTGTAGATCTCATCTTTGTGAACAAATGTTCTTTATACTGATATCACTACTCTATGTAATAAGTGAAACGGTGTCAAAAAAAGTTTTTTAGTGTGACAAACTGGGGGCCTACTCCAGGTTGACTCGACAAGATGAAAAAACTGGCCTCATTCCAAACTCCCGTCAGCCCATGGCAAAAGACTTGAAGCTGCTATGTACATGTTATGCACATGTGTACAAGCTTAGTATGTTAGGGACCATATAAGCTTCGCAATATTTTGGATTTAACACCTGTCTCACATTTTCTAAACAAAGTACCCTTTGGTAATTATAGATGTAGGAGCTGTCAGTAATGTAACGTCTCTGTTACGAATGTAACCCTCGTTCCCTGAAGGAGGGAGTGGAGACGTCACATCGTTAATGACTGAATTTGGGATCTCGCTTAGAGTGTAAACTAAACGAGCCAATGCACATTGGCATGCAATGATTGCATCCAGTTGCCGCTGATCGCAGCGTGAGTATAACTAGGCAGCAGGTGCAACGCATACTCAGCTTTTCGCTGAGGAGCCGAGCTGGTGACCCGGCCGCTCAGTGGTGGTACAGCAGCTGTGGTGACGGGAAGTGATGTCTCCGTTCCTTCCCTCAGGGAACGAGGGTTACATACGCAACTGAGACGTTCCCTTTCAGTCGGTCACTGAGGCTATACCGTGGACTTTACATATATTGGCTCCACTCAGGTCTCTACATATGGAACCCAGCCCTCTACCGGTTCTCACGGATTCATCGAGTGAGGGCCTGGTGCCGGATGTTCCACCATGTCTGGCTGCCGAGGGGATGGAGGAGCTCAACAGGGTCTACCGTACGGACTTTGGAGTGGTTTAGCAAGCCGACACTAAACCGGGGCCTCTCAGTGCTTCTATGTGTTTGAGGTAAGAACACAAGAGGATACCGGCTCCACACGAAGGCTATAGACTCTAGCGAATGTGTTGGTTGTCGCCCGGCCCACAGCTGTACAAATATCTGTCAGCGAGGCGCCACGAGCGAGCGCCCAGGAGGATGCAACACTTCTAGCAGAGTGAGCTCGCAACCTGAGTGAGCAGGGCACACCCTGTGCCTGAAAAGCCAGGGTGATGGTATCCACTATCCAGTGGCCCATCCTCTGCTCAGAGATGGCATTCCCCTTCTGCTGGCCTCCGTAAGAGACAAAGAGCTAATCTGAGGTCCTGAAGCTTTGTGTCCGGTCTGTGTACCATCTCAAGGCTTGGACAGGACAAAGCAAAGCTAGGACTGGGTCTGCCTCCTCTGGGGGCAGCGCTTGCAGATTCACTACCCTGAAGGGGGTAGTAGGAACCTTGGGCACATAGCTGGGCCAGAGCCTTAGGATTACCTGGGAGTCAGCCGGCCCAAACTCTCGGCACGATTCATTGACCAAAAATGCGTGCGGGTCCCCTACCCTCTTGATGAAGGCTACTGCAATCAAGAGTAATGTTTTTATTGAAAGAAACTTTAGCTTAACTGACTGCAAGGGCTCAAATGGGCCCTGCTGTAGTGGTCTGAGCACTAGAGTCAGGTCCCAAGAGGGTATAGAGAGGGGCCGGGGAGGATTTAACCTTCTCGCCCCCTAAGGAACCTGACGACCAAGTCATGCCCCCCTACCGACTTCCCTTCCACAGGGTCGTGATGTGCAGCAATCGCAGCCACATGGACTTTAAGGGTGGAGAGAGACTGCCTTTGCTCCAACCCTTGCTGCAAAAAGGACAGCATGACTCTGATTGGGCATCTACGGGGGTCCTCTCAGTGAGAAGAACACTACTCGACGAACAGGTTCCACTTCAAGGCATAATCGCTCGTAGATGATGGTGTCCACTACCTCATGGGGTAGGTCACCTACAACCTCCGCATCCCGTCCAGGGACCAGATGTGAAGTTTCCAGAGGTCTAGACATGGGTGCCAAACAGTCAGTAGATCCTTGCTCAGAGGAATCTGCCAGGGAGGAACTGTCACAAGGAGCATTAGTTCCGGGAACCAGGTCCGAGTAGGCCATTAGGGCGCCACAAGAAGGACCTGCTCCTTGTCCTCCCTGATCTTGCACAGTGTTTGTGCGAGAAGGCTCACTGGTGGAAAGCATACTTGTACAGGCCCCGCGGCCAGCTGTGTGCCAGTACATCCGTGCCGAGTGTTCCCTCGGTCAGGCAGTAAAACAACTGGCAGTGAGAGGTCTCTGGAGAAGCAAACAGGTCTACCTGAGGGGCTCCGAAGCGTCTCCAAATCAGCTGGACCGTCTGGGGATGGAGTCTCCACTCTCCGGGAGTGCAGCTCATCAGCTGCACGGTCGAGCAGACCCGGAATGTGAATGGCACGAAGCGACCTCAGATGCTTCTGACTCCAAAGGAGAAGGTGGCGGGCAAGTTGCGACATGCGACAGGAGCGTAGACCACCTTGTCGGTTGATGTACGCAACGGTCGCAGTGTTGTCCGTTCGGACCAGCACGTGCTTCCCTCGTACGCGCCTTCTGAGACGGTTCAAGGCAAGGCATACTGCTTACAACTCTAGGCAGTTGACGTGCCAGTGCAGTTGGGGGCCCATCCAAACCCCCGACACTGCATGACGTCGTACGTGGCCCCCCCAGCCACAGCATGCCTGGAGACCTGTTCCAGGGGCACTCCTGCCTCTTGACCTGTTCTTATTTTATTACTGACTTTTTACTTGTGTTTTCTTATGAAAATAAAACTTTGCATTGAAGAAAAGTAGATTTTTATTTGTATATGCTGTCAATTATAGTTCTTAGAAAGAAAATCAGAATCTGCAAAAATCGGTATCGGCAGATCACACTAACAAAAAAATCGGAATCGGCCAAGAAAATTGCAATCGGTGCATCTCTAGAAAAAAAATCTGTTGCTACTTCTATTACATGGCAGAAATCAATGGAAACATCCTTAATATGCTACATTGTTTTTGGCTGTTACTTATAGAGCACATATCCACAAAATGATTAAAAGTCCTAAATATCAACAACATCAAAAAAAAAAAGGAAAAATATAAACACTTGTAGGGGAGGACTGTGTCTTTGTTATTACATTAATATGTGAGAAGCTTGTGCGTGCAAACTCTCTCTACAGCAATAGCAAATTGAATTAACTCTGGAGGTGTGTTGAAGTCGTCAAACCTTGCAGCAAAGTTTCATCATATCTCTTCTAATTTGTTGTGTCAAGTTGTTTATGAAGTCTTGCAGTGTTGGAAATTGTTGCATTTTTACAGTGGTTCCAAAAAATAAAAAAAATGAGCACATCTTAAGTTTAAACCCATCAAGTGTTGCAACAATATCACAGACCATTTTATCTCATCTCTGCAATCCCAGATTAAGGCGGTTCAAGTGATGAAAGCTGTCACTCAGAAAACACACTTTTGCCATGAAATTTTCATCTCGCATTCGAGACAGAAATGTGACAGCTCTCCAGTGATGGTAGCCACAGAGAAAAGAAACATTCTTCTGTCCGAGTCCACAAAAATGTTTTCCATTCCTCTTGCCATTTATCATTGTGATGTAGGAGTAAATCACTGTCCTTGGCTGACACATCTCATTGGAGCCTGTGAAACGTGGTGCTTTCATGAAAATAAGTTGTTAATGTTGATGTGCTATCCAAAATGAAGACATAAAGACACAGCTTTCTTATTGGTGGATTCATTCACAGGCATTGTCTCCACCTTCTTTTATTTGTCTAAGAATGCCAGTATTTTACTTCTTGTCGTTGTGTCAAACATCAGTATTTTTTAATAGATTATGTTGTTTCTGTCTTTATTACAATCTCCTCTATAGTGTTAGCATGTAATCTTTCACAGTCTTCGAGTCAGTGAATGGTTTCTTCTTTTTTCTTGAGGACCCATGCTACACAGAGTGAGGCTGAAAGAGCTTTCTCTTGCTTGAAACATGATCTGACCATGATAGCTTGTTAGGCTTTGCACTTTATGTCAGTGAGTAACAGAGCCTGGAGGAAATTGTGTGTTGAAGTTTGAGTGCTAGGACTTGGAAGTGCCTTCTCAGATTGTACTGCTGTATCACAGTACAACGCTTGTTACATGGCAAACTAGAAACACAATTTAGGGAAAAAAATGCTTTACTTAACTATCTGTTTCTGACAGTAAGGTTCTTTTGACTTGGATTAAACAATCGATAAATATAATTCACAATTTTTTTTATATATTTGTTGAAGTGCTAATGTTTTGGTGGAATGCACTTCCAATGGATAGACAGAAATCTTACAGGTTTCATTAAAAATACCTTAATTTCTGTTTTAAAGATGAATGAAAGTCATTCAGCCTGGATTTGGGCTGACACGAGGATGCATAATTGATGGTAGAATTTTTATTTTTGGGGTGAAATAAGTATTTCTGTAGGTAAAAATGAAGAATCTTGCAACTCAGAAACCTCAAAAATCTCAGCACCTCAACACAGTTGAGTTAATTAAAAAATCCTTATCCTTAGAGGATTGATGCTGGCCACTAGTTGACTGCTCCCACATTTTAAATATCTGGCATTTTCATCACTTTTGGTGGATTTTGTCCCCCAAGCTTTGGTTAATTTCTGCACTAATGGGCATAACTTCTGCATGAATCACAGTTACTATAGTGCTGTTATGACATTTAGAGGGGCTGGAGGTAAATGGGAAATTACACCGTTTAAGTTTTGCTAAGCATTGCTTCTCAGCTGTGGTAATGTCACAATCAAGTCATTTGTATTCATGCAGCTTCGTCTGACGGGGTTTTCATCAGCACAGAGGTCTGAAATGAAATAGGTGTCACTTCCATGGAGCATGACCTAGGGTGACATCATAGGAAATTACCAGCGTTTTGCCAGACGATTACACACGAAGATAGCAAATTTCTTTTAATTACCATCTTCCACCTCTTTCTCTGCTCTTCTCATCTCCTTTATAATCAGCATTGTTTTCTTTTTGTTACAGGGTAATGCTTAGTTTCAGAAATGCCGTACGTAGATCGTCAGAATCGGATCTGTGGCTTTCTAGACATAGAGGAAATGGAGAGCAGCGGCAAGTTTTTACGACGCTACTTCATTCTGGACACCCTGGAGGGCAGCCTGGTGTGGTACATGGATAACCCTCAGGTATCTACCCATCTTCATCTCTTTCACCCTGTCAGTACATCGCTAAATGCAGCAGCTCTTAATTTTACATCTGAAGGCCTTTGTTTTACCACTTCTGTGGAAGTACAGAATACATGTCAAAATTTTTTATCAAATATGTCAGCATGGTGTTCCCCAGGGGCTAGTCATTGACCGTTTTAAGTTTCACATACTAAATAGGTTATGGATAAGTTTTGAAATCAAACCAAAATTCTCTTGATGCTTTTTAAAAAATATTGGAATAGTATGATTGCTGTAACAGTCAGTTTGTGTGCATTCTTCTGCCTTTGTGGACAGAAACATAATTGGTGTCACAACACCATGACTTAAACTACTGCACGAAACTTACAGTAACTAATGTAGTCCAGTTCCCAAATGAATTATTTTTTTCTTGTTAGTGAATCAAAACACTGAATAGTATTATTAAATTATTCAGTAGTTGTTACTGAATGAGTCAGACTTACTTGCTGAACTGCAAGTTATTACTTTCATTGTGTCTGATCTCGAAATACATGAAAACTGAAATTATAATTTTTGGCAGTAGACTACTAAAAGGCAGAAAATGCAATAAGAATGACTTTTTTCCAAATATGTCTTACTCAAAAGTACTACAAAATTTATTAATTAGACCATAAAGGAACTAGAAGAATTAAGAGGAATCTTGCAATAGAACCAGAGTAAAGTTCTTATGATTTTTATCCCTAGTTACTGAAAACACATGGGTAGATATACTGCACACCATAGTTCTGCAGTAAGACGATGCGGTGTCTCAGTGGTTTTGGGGCAGTAACTGTAGAGAACTACACCTTCAGTGCTGTCAGAAACAGGAAAACTGTAAGCCACAGTTGACCTTTTTCTGCTATCAGTTAGAATCTTGATATGCAAAACATTGTGTGATACTAACATTTCCTCTCCTACACACCTTGTTATTATTGTAGCTTTAAAAAGCATTAGTTTGTGAACTTTCTGCATAGATATTGGCCTTTTTTACTCTGAAACTTTGCTAATAGTGCCTGTAGAGAAATTTCACCTCCCATGTGCTTGTGGGTAAAGGATATGAGTGCCATGGCCTCTGTTGGACTTTATAATATCATAAAGTATTGGAGGACATTGATGTGTCTTTGCCTCCAGACCACTTTAACCATTCAGATTCATGGTGTTTATATGAGTGTAAATGTATTTGCATCTGTGTGGGTCACACTTTGCTTTACTGTGCAGCTTTATAAGGGTGTCTTTGTCTGAGACTCCAGACTAGCAAACTAACTGTTCATAACTGTGTTGAGTGTACATGCAAGGAATCTACACAGATGGTAATTACGAAGAGTTTAATGAAAAAATACTTAATTAGCGCATAGAAAAATCTAGTAAAAAATAAATGTTAATATAGTAATGATTTTTTTTCTTGGTATGTCTCATTGTAACTTATACTGATACTTTCAGTGTCTTAAACTCATTTAGGTTGGAGTAAAAGAGGAAATCTCAGGCGAAACCTGACTAGAACTGAGATCACTGATGAAGAGCCTATGTCAGGACCTGTCTTTTTTGATTCTTCATGTTCTTTCTCTTTGTTTCTTTTAATGGATTCTCTCTATTTTCTTGGCTGCTGCAGGCTCTGTACCAATCACTTTATCTAAGACTCAGTCAGTAGCCCCAGCCAGCATCTTTTATTGATGCCACGTCTGACTTTAAATAATTTACCTCACTGCATCTGTAGATGTGTGCTAAAACTTTCATAGACCCCTGTGCAATTCTACAACTTTGGAGAATACCGTACGCTCACCATAAATGTATTCTGTCCACGTTTGTTTTCAGACACTGCTCAAAACACACACACAAACACACTTCTCACATCAAATCAGCGTGTATCATTTTTATATTCTGAATTTCAGCTCTATTGATTTGAATCTTCTCCTTCTACAGAATCTTCCAGAAGGAACATCCTATGTTGGCTCCCTCAAACTAACATATATATCCAAGGTTTGTAATTACCAGTTATTACCAGCTTTATATTCCCAGACTTCAATGATACATTTTAAATTGTGTGGCTTGTTTTAAAGTGTGCCATGACTTTTCTTTGCATTCAGATTCACCATTCTCTTGTAATGGCTGGCCATGTGATCCAAACTCTTATGTTTAATAATTTAATATAACAGCTTTTCTTGTATATACTGTGGGGTGCAACGGTACACGTATTCGTACCGAATATTTTCGGTACAGGTTTTTCGGTTCGGTACGCATGTGTACCAAACAAATCGTTCCATTTTTTTCAGGAAATTCAGACAATAAATGCCGTTTTGCCACTCTTTGATGCGGCGAGACATATCGCCATAGCCAATACTTAAGGTCTTTGCACACTGAGTCCGAAATTTTTGTATGCGTTTTTTCGTATATTCGTCATCCTTTCTTAACAACATTATTGTTACAGATGCGAAAACACATATGATGGACGAAAGTTTTGGAGGCAGTGTGTAAACGTGATTGACACAAGGTGAGGTCGTATTTATTTTTGAACGTGTGAAAATTTCGGATAAGAATTTCTGACTCGGTGTACAATGACCTTAATGCCTCAGTTCTAACGGCAGTGCGGAGCACGAGTTAGCGTGATCACACCTTCCTCTTTATTACTAGTTTTAACGCGAAATATACATGAAGGAACAACCCCTCACATAATCGCTCAACTAATGTTTCAACCGCAGAAAGATGTCATTAAAACAGCTTGTAAACAAAATGTCATGTAGCGTTTCATTTATCTAGGCAAGTCATCAGTGTCTACAGCTCGTTATTTGCTAGCGAAATTAAGTCTAGAGAAGTGCATTTTGTGAAATATTAGACTATGCCTGTACTGCTGTGCAAAGGCAAAAGACCGTAACTTTGATTTTGGTCGAAAATTAGTTATTCAGATTTTTAGTGTTTTCCTTGTTTTGCCTTGCCTGTTTTTTTGCGGTTTTTGATCTTTGCCTGTTTTCCTGGTTTTTTCCCTCTCGTCTCGCCCCTGTGATTCTGTCTGCCGATCGGTGACCTACGCTAGCCCTAGGACTTTTCTTGTGTTTTGCCCGCCATATACCTGTTTGCCATTGTTTGACCCTGCCTGTTTACCACGTCTCTCTATTAAAAGCTTGCAGATGGATCCACACGTCTCACATCTCGTCAGCCCCGTTACACACACACACATTTGACTGAATCATTCCTCATTAATAGCGGTTCAATTGCACATTTGCATTTATCAGCAACGAACCATATCGGAGTTCACATGACTTTTCAAGTAGACTTTGGTATGGTTTGCTGGTATGTGTTATTTTAGTGTTACTGAGATACTATTATAGATTGTTATTTTTTATGTAGATTTTATAGTTTTAATAAATTTGTGTTGTTTATTTGTTTTTAATGTCCATGTAATTTTTATTACAATTGAACTTTATTATTTTAGTATATCAAGTTGAAAATGAGAAATGTGGTCTTGGCAAATAGCTTAAATAAAATGTTTTATTTTATTTTATTTCAGTTCATGTTTATTTTATTTAAGTAATGAAATGGTTTTAGTTTTACTCTTATTTTACTATAATAACCCTATTGGGAGAGTTTGTAAAACCATGTTCATATCATCCAACCAAACTTCCACATCAAAGAAACCTGGATGCGCTCCAGAAGTGGTAGTGTGAAAGCACCCTTCTTCAGGCCTAGAAGCACACACTTAGACAGGAAGAGACCGTCTGACCTACATGTAATCTATGTTGCCAAATTCATAAATAATGCCACAAAAATGTGATTATATCATCATCTCCAAATTGTTTAAAAATAAATCTTTGTGTCTTCCCACAGTCATCAACGCTGGAATGAGGAAGTTTTACTTGCAGGCGAATGATAAGCAGGATTTAGTGGAGTGGGTCAGTGCGCTCAACAACGCCACCAAAATCACAGTAAGTCCCTGACCCTGGATTAGATTCCTCTTACTAACCGGAGAACAGTTCAGATGGTTCTCCAAATTGCAGATTTGGAGACCTGGATCCTGTAGGTGTACAGACATAATTAGCCTACATTAAACACAATTTTCTCTACTAAAATTGAATAAGAAAATAATCCATCTATTCTTCAAAACACTTGTCCTATTTAGGACCCTGGGTATGCTGAAGTCTATCTAAGCATCTCGGACCATAGACTAAGATAATTAGCTGAGATGAGTCAACAGTAAAAATGTATATACATACAGTGCCCTCCATAAGTATTAGGACAGTAAAGACAAAATTGCTCTGTTTGCTTTGGAGTCAAGAAATCTGTAAATATGATTAAAAGATGAATATGAGACAAAACTACAGAATGTCACGTTTTATTATTGGGTGATTCAACATATAGATATTTTACCAGCTAAGAAGATCAGCACTTTTAGAGTTTCATCCCTCCTATCTGATGTGAGCATAAATAATGGGACAGTTGCCTCACAGGTCTTTCTAAGTGATCAGCTGTGTCCTGTTGCATTAATTGTTCAGATTTTAAAAGCAGAAAATGTGTCGTATCTGTTATACCCATTGCTTCTTGCATTTGATGACGACACACACAAATCAGGATGAAGACGAGGGGGCTGACTTTGAGAGAAAAGCAAGCAATTTGGATGCTAAAAGAAAAGAGGAAGTCAGTTAGAGCTATAGCAAAAACAAGGGGCATGAAGAAATCAAGAGTTTGGAAACCACCGACAACAACCAACAACAACCTGATCAGCTGAGAAAAACACCAGTAGTTGATGACAGACAAATAATAAAAGCTGTGAAAATGAACCCAAAAATACATGTCTGTAAAATAACCAACAACCTCCAGAAAGCTGGGGTGATGCTCTTACAATCTACTGTCCACAGGAGACTTTGACACAGAATGACAGAGGTGACACAGCAAGATGCAAACCTCTGACCAGCACCAAAAATAGAAAGGCAAGATTAGTTTGCAAAAAAGTAGAGTTTTGGAACTGAGATTTATGGACAGATGAGACAAAGATGAACCTTTATCTAAGTGATGGGATAGCAAAAGTGTGGAGAAAAAGGGAACTGCAAATGATCCTAAGCATACAGCCTCTTCTGTAAAGCATGGTGGAGGTTGTGTCATGGCATGGGCATGCATGGAAGAGGCCCTCTCAATTTTAATGATGACTTAATGTATGTGACAGTAGCAGAATGAATTTGGAAGGGTACAAAACCATCTTGGCTACCAATATTCAAGAAAATGACACCAGACTCACCAGAAAGCACTTCATATTGCTTCAGGACAATGACCCAAAACACCCTTCCAGTTCAGTCAAGAAGTTTACCAGGGCAAAGAAATAGAAGGCCTTAGATTGCCCAATTCCATCTCCAGATTTAAACCTGGTTGAACATGAATTTCATCAGCCAAAGAGGAGAAACTCCCCAAAACAAGCAACAGTTGTAATTGGCTGCATTAAAGGCTGGGCAACGCATTTCAAAGGATAAGACCAAGAGTCTGGTGATATCTACGGGTCACAGACTCACTGCTCTGATTGCACGCAAGGGATCCGCAACTAAATAATAGCTTTTAACCTTTTACATCTGCCTTAAAGGGGTCATATGATGTTGCTAAAAAGAACATTATTTTGTGTATTTGGTGTAATGAAATGTGTTTATGCGGTTTAAGGTTAAAAAAACATTATTTTCCACATACTGTACATTATTGTTTCTCCTCTATTCTTTATATTTTATAAAGAATATCTCTTTGGATTTGAGACTTTAGTCTTTGCAACTTTACAGATCTTCTTTATGCACCTAGAGCTTGTAACACTCCAAAGAGAAAGGAAAAATTGAAATCACATCATATGACCCCTTTAAGTTCAACTGTTCCAATAGTTATGTTCGCATCAAATAGTGGGATGAACTCTAAAAGTGCTGTCCTTTTTATTTGGTAAAACATGTATGTGTTGAAACGGCTAATAATAAAAGTGTGACATTCTGTAGTTTTGTCTCATATTCATCTTTTAATCATATTTGCGGATGTCTTGACAACACCGCAAACAAAGCAATTTTGCCATGCATTAATAGGGACACAGTATGGCAACGTTTTCTAGCGTGCTTCACACAGACATGCACTCCACTCAGCTTCACATAGGTAATGTTTCCTTCCGAACAGCTTTTCGAGCGCCTTATGTCTGATCTTGTCTCACGATTGCTGAAATACAGTAACTATCCCATGAGCAAATGACACTCTCCCAGCATAGCTGTAAAATGCTGTAGAAAACATCTAATCATCTACTGTCTTATAAAAGTAACGAAAAGTAGTCTGCTGCTGTTTATGTTGTGATATTTGGATTAGGTCACTAATGAAATTTCGGAAAAAAGGGCATTTAAAGGGGTCATGCACTGCCTTTGTTTTTTATTTTGCACTGTTCTCTGAGGTCCACTTATGTTATCAAGATTTTTTACATCAAAAAGCATAATTTAGAAGTAATAAGCTATTTTTTAAACCCCTCATCGGAAAGCTTTGTTTGGATAGGCGTGGCAGATTGTAGACTCAGAAGTAAGCGCCCACTGCTATGATTGGCTAATAGTTGGGTTTGTTTGACAGCGTACATTCCTCATATATGGACGCTGCTGTGATTTAGGTCAAAAACGCATAAAATACCTCAATACATATCAAACGATCTGTAAGAAGCAATAGTGACTATACGTAATGAAAATGATTACTCAGACTTGTGTTGTGACATTACAACACAAGGGGGAAGTCGTGGCCTAATGGTTAGAGAGTTGTGGGTTGTGGGTTCGAGTCTCATACTGGCAGGGATTGTAGGTGGGGGGAGTGAATCTACAGCACTCTCTCCCACCTTCAATACCACGACTGAGGTGGTATTGAACCCCCAACTGCTCCCCGGGCGCCGCAGCAAAAAATGGCTGCTCCGACGTAGAAGCAGGCGTTGATCATCTTCTGTGGAGGCGGTGTTTAGCCACACTATTACATCATAGAGTAGAACATTCCAAAAGCTGTCGTTTGGCAGACTGCCTTCAATATAAGCTGTTTTTAGACTAACGACAAAGTTTTGAGAATGATTTTATAGTACAGTGACCTCTTATTCTTAGTTGACCTCATATTCTTAGTTGAACATTTTTCTCCTTTTTTTCATTTAGGCACATTAGGGGAAGTATTTAAAGAACCTTATGCATGCTGAAATGCATGCTAAAAACACTGACTCAAATTATTAATGGAATTGGTTTGTCTATCAAAACAAATTGAATTGTTGATTTTTTTGGAGAATTAAAAGTATTTTAGAATTTCAAAAACCATTGAATCATGAATCAAATCAATTCGCACCACTATTGATTACATCACAACCTCTATTGTGAAAAAAAGAGATGTTCTTGCCTTTCTTTTGCTGAAAATTTCAATTCATATTGGTATATGCCAGCTATCTAAAAGGTTTATATTGGCTTAATCATCTTCAATCAGCTTAAACACGTTAGGCCATCTATGATGCATACATAATCAGAATATTCAAAATGGACAATGTCAAATCATAATGAAGATGCTGCTAAAAACATGGTTTGAATGTTAATGGCAGTATTATCATGCATTGCAGGATTTGTTTGCCATTAGATGCTAACATGATTAGAATTGGCAGCTTGTTTTGGGTCAGAGACAGCATGTGTAGTGATGGTGTATTGATGAGGGAAGTGTTTTTTTTGGCCTGAAGGCACTAAACGATGAACTGCCATCCCCACAGAAGCAGCTGTAGTGTCAGTCAGTCAATACTAGCAAGCGGTTGATCACTGCATCGGCTGAACCAGAAGGACAAATTATTCATTTACACTGAGGGAGAAAAAAAGGTCTAGTTTTGTCTAGTTTTTTTTTTTGCAGCAACATGAAAATCATTAAAAACTTTGCTACATACCATTCTTCCTCAACATTAGAAAAGTAACTGGCATCAGTAAGATGTTTAAGAAGTCTCTAATACTCACCAGGGCTGCATTTATTTGATCAAAAGTACAGTAAAACAGTAATATTGTGAAATATAATTGAAATTTAAGTAACATTTATTTTAATATTTATATATTAGTTTTCAATGTTAATATATTTCAAATGTAATGTATTACATTTATAGCAAAGCTTAATTTTCAGCAGCCATTACTCTAGTCTTCAGTCTCAAATGATCCCTCAGAAATCATTCTAATATGCTGATTTGGTGCAGTACAGTTGTGCTGCTTGATATTTTTGTGGAAACCATGATACAATTTTTTTTTTTTTTCAAAATTCTTAGATGAATATAAAGTTAAATAGAAATCTTATAACATCATAAATGTCTTTATTGTCTTTATTTTGATTAATGTAATGTGTCTTCATTACTTCATTCATTACATAAATTCTGTATGTGTCAAAGTTCTTCCAACCTTATGCTGTTTCTGGCTGTGTGTAGCACCTACAGCTCTGTAGATCACAACATTAGAAATAAGCGTCTGAGGTTTATTTTTACAAGCTTCCTGCTCATTTTAAATAATTTAATTTTAACACGTTGAGCATGTCCATGTACGTTGTTTTGTGAATCTGTAAGCTTTACAAAGAAGCTGATATCTAATTTTGTATTTAAAGAGAAACTGTCAGCTCTGGTCAGTCCTCTTATTTACATATTTCAGTCAAGTCTTTTGGCAAACATATGTATGGACCCCAAATGGGAATGGTTTGATTAAAAATTGATTGTCCTTGTCAGATCTTTTTGTATTAAATAACTTGTAAATATATAAAGAATGCAAATTTGTTATGCTTGTTTGTCTTTTCTCACTTCCTCTCCAGGTGCCGAAGTCAGGTGAGCAGGTGGCCCATAATACAGCAGAAGCATGTGTGGACACATCGGGGGCCACGAAACAAGTGTCCTACAAGACTGAAATCATTGCAGGAGTGCCCATCATCACCACCACACAGGTCATTTAACCTCATGACACATTAACATATATTAAAGATGCAAAAACAAAATTGGGTAAAAAACACTGAGCAGTTCCATGATAATCAGATGGTTTATACTTTAATTAAAAGAGGTATCATTCAGTACCATGATATTTTTTACCATGTGTTTGTGCAGTATCATTACTGATGTAGCTAATGCAATGCATTTGAATAAAAAAATGGATGTATCAACATTGTTGTATGTCACTGGCTCTCAGGAAAAGGGGGAAGGTCAGAATGGTGCAGACAAGAGCGGGATGAGGAAAACTCCTGGTCAGCTGCCGTTTTACCTGAGCCGGAGTAACCAAGACCAGTCAGTCATTAAAACTGGATATTGTGTCAAACAGGGAGCTGTGGTGAGTAAAAAGTGCAGAAGAAGTTTGTATATGTGTTTTTTGTCGAGTATCATATTTCATACATCAGACTTTTAGGGCTCGTATAATATGATATAGAATATGAAGGTCATACTCGAGGAGGGGATAAAACAGCTCACATTTGTTCAGAGGCCTGAACTGAGCAAAAATATGCAATTTGCTGCAGTTTCTGATATTTATATAACAGAAAAGTAAGATAAAATTCTGATTGCATGTAATGTAAGTCTGTTAGATAACAATATAGCAGACTACTTACATAAAATGCATATAACTAAAATAAAATCGTCACTCTATATCTCACAACAGTATATCTTAGTAAGATGGTCTCTAAATACCTAGTTTTATTTGATCAAATACTTAGTTTTCAAAGTTCTATAGTTTTTATTGTGGAGGACAAAATGTAATGCAATGCAATATAGAGATGATTGAGAGATGGACAAATAAACATAATACGAAAGCTTGATGTATCTATTCTGTAAATGTAAATTTTAACATGATGTATGGATAATCACATAAACCAAAGTTTCTTCAGTCAAGTAAATGCTCATCCTGAAATATTACTTACAATATACTAAGGTTATAAAAATCTGTATAGATACCACAGAAAAAAAGACACATGTACCACAACCTGAAGGGTTTTTAAAATTGTAATAAAAGGCCTTTTACTTACAAAAAAAAGTATTAACCTTTGTACAAACATTCTGCATGATCATGTTGACAATTTAGAGGTCTTAAAAATGTGCTTATCAAATATAATACAGTAGGCTTTATAGTGTTTAGAATAGCGGAATTTAGGTGAAGTTTTGCAGACAAAAAATATCCAATATCTAGCATAGCAACATATAAAGCAGAGCTCACACAAAGTAACTTTCAAACCTGGCAGCTTTCTTTTGGTCAGATACGTCTTTCTGTCTTTCTCTAGATGAAAAACTGGAAAAGGAGATACTTCTTGCTGGATGACAATGCACTAAGCTACTTCAAATCAGACATGGTTAGTCTCTCCCTCTCTTGCTTCCTGCTCCTGCATCTCTCTAGAGTCTTGCACAATGCTGTTGACCTTGAATTCTTCTCAAACCCATTGACCTGTCCAGCTCTTTGTTTTCATTGTGTTTTGCACCTGTGCGTCTATGAGCCCGTCTATAAGCTCCCATCTGATAAGTGAAAGTCCGGCCTGTGTATTGTTCATGCCATCTGATCCTGTGTCCAATCACATTTCACCAATGTGCCCCCAGAATTAGACCAGTGACTCATGTGGGAGTGAAAGCTTGTGTCCAGTGGAGGCTATAAGACCGTGTGTGTGTACCCTGGTGGCTGTTTGAACTTGTTCACAGTAATATGAATTCCTCTTGCTGTGTGTCAACAGGCTGACTGTGTCTGAACATGTCTGTATCAGTGGTGATTGCTTTAGGACTACACTGGAAGCACATCTTCCTCTTAAATTTCATTAGAATTTTGGGGAATTCATAATTACGTTTTAGAAACAAATATAATTCTGTTATGTTAAAAATATCCACAGGGCTTGATGCATACTTTTTTACCAAGGAGTTGAAAAATTTAGGAGCGCATTAAAGAACTTTAGGGGAGCAATACAGTACTGTAATAAATAGATTATTTTGCTGAGACTATTAAAATCTATATTTTGAATCTGCGAGCCTGTAGAATGCACAAGCGCTGCGGTTTTAATTAAAAAAGTGCAGCGCTCTAATTTGAAAAAAAAAATGATATCATAGCCATATGAAGTTTAATAAACACATGAGACTGCATCGCAATTGTTATTCCGTCCTGAAATTAAAGACCTCTCAAAATTACAATTAAGGTGTTTGTTATGCCATGTTATACCAAGATATTTAAGACTTTTTATGACCTTATGATTCTTTTTTTCACTTTTTAAAGACCCCTGGGGACTTTTTTTATTTGCACATGCTCCTAAATATATTTTACAGTTTGCATACATTTATTTTAGTCACAAATGTGAGTTGTGATTCAGAATCACTTTATATTAAGTATCTTTAACTGCGGTGTACTAACATTTAAATGAATCATTTGATACAATGCACTTATGTACACACTTATTTTTACGCTGTACTTAGATTTAAAAAATGTCATTTTAATTCATTAACTATTTCTGTAATTATATCTATAATTACACTGCTGACTCTACTTTAAACCTAACCATAATATCCGAAACCTTAACCGTATCTGTGTGTGTGTGTGTGTGTGTGTGTGTGTGTGTGAGAGAGAGGAGGGCAGGCATAGGAAGGAGGCTTGGTCAAAGGCTAAATCATACAGTAGTTGCCAATAAAGGCTATTTCAGGGCTGATAATCACAGGCTTGCGCTCAGTGCAGCACTCTGCTCGGGCCTGCACTTCCTCACTGCACACACGCAGCATGGCTGGAATGTTTGCTCAGTGCTTGTTCAATCATTCACATGAAATAAAGACAATATTTACTACATTACTGAATGAAACTTTGTTTTTAGGAGCGAGAGCCGTTACGAGTTGTTCCTCTGAAAGAAGTGAACAAGGTGCAGGAGTGTAAACAAAGGTCAGTAGTGCTTCATTTGTGCTTTTGTTTTGTTGTTTTTTGTTTTGTTTTGTTTTTCTTTTTGTTTTGTGTTTTGTTTAGTCATAATGTTAGTTTACTTTAGTTTTGTTTAGTTTTTTTTTTTTTGCCTTGTTTTGCTTTGTCTTGTCTTGTTTTGCTTTGTCTTGTTTTGTTTTGTTTTGTTTTGTCTTGTTTTGCTTTGTCTTGTTTTGCTTTGTCTTGTTTTGCTTTGTCTTGTCTTGTTTAGCTTTGTCTTGTCTTGTCTTGTTTTGTTTTGTTTTGTTTTGTCTTGTCTTGTCTTGTTTTGTTTTGTTTTGTTTTGTTTTGTTTTGTTTTGTTTTGCTTTGTCTTGTTTTGCGTTGTTTTGTTTTGTTTTGTTTTGTTTTGAAAAATGGTTTCCAAATACACTTCTGCCACACCCGTTGTCATTCAGTGTTCCTCAAAAATGAAGTTGTGCCCCATACATACACATCTGTTTGAGCCAGAGATAAACTGTGTAAACAAATCCTACTCAATTACGGTCTCAATGGTTTACTTATAGTTAGGCATGTCGCAATAATCAATATATAGACTTATCACGCAATATATGTGCATGACCTCAATCATTTTTGGTGACGCAATATATTGCCCATTATATTTACTTAAAAATGAATGTCACCATGTTTTGTACATTCCACTTGCGCCTGTGTCTTTTGCAGCTTCTCGAGCATAACATGGTGTAGTCATGAGTTGCTTGTTCAAATTAAAAAAATGGTTCCACAAAAAAAGTTTCATCTGCAGATATGGTCTTGTTTAGGGATCTGCGCCTTTGTGCATACGGACATCTGACTGCTAAGTAGTGATTGTGTTTTTCAGCAATAGTGAGCGCCATTAAATTACGGAGAAAAGAAGGTCAGGGGAAAATCTGTAGATGGAAAAATCTCCATACAAGTTCTTTGTGCATTTTTCTTTTTTTCCTACTTTGCACTTTTTGTTAGAAAATGTTTATTTACTATTTATTCAGGTTTTTTAAGGTATCTAATATTTTGATACTTAATTTCCATGATCTAAATATTCTTCAAATTTGTTGTCATTTGGAAGTGTGTAGGCCTTCTTGCATTATTATGCTGTTACATTATGATTATATATTCAGTGGCATAAAATGGTCTTTAAAATGACAATAATATTGTTTATCGCAATTATTTCTGGGGCAATATATAGCACAACAAAAAGTTGTTATCGTGACAGGCCTACACTGTAAAAAAAATTCCGTAGAATTTACAGTAAAAAACCGGCAGCTGTGGTTGCCGGAATTTTACCGTAAAAAATAAGTTAGCAACTGTTTCGGTTTTGCGGTTTTAACTTAAATTTACAGCTAAATACCGTAATTTCATTAACTGATATAATGTTAATATACCAACCTATTGAAGTACTGAAATCTGTTTTGTACCTTTGTAATACACTGATAACCACCAAATGCAGGAGGTGATGAGAAAGTCACATGATGAACCAAAGCCCATCACAAGCAACTTTTAAATAATAACATATATAGAAGGTGCACACAGTGTTATTCACACAAACACTAAACACCATCACGGTAACACACATGAAACTGAAATAATGCAATAAACATTCATTTAACAACATTAGGTGTAACACAACCCTAATATACAAAACTGATAAGAAAAAACTAAGAAAAAACATAGTTATTTCAACAAAAAAAACATCAAATTTGAAATGTAACGCAGGGAATTCTGGAAATGAATTTTCCTGTTATTCACTGTAAATTATACGGTATTTTTCACTTCCAAAAACAGGATACTACCGTAAAATTTATGTCCAATACATGTAATGTCCCATACAGTTTTTCACCGTATATAGTAGGGGAATTTTCCATTAACCATTTAACAGGTTTTTACTGTAGTATTTTTACAGTCTTTTACCGTTAAATTCATGGTCATTTTTTACAGTGTACTTATAGTTGCACTTTAAAGTGGGATATAAAGTGGGAAAGTATTTTAACATTAAAATCACTGCACACAGCACACCATCATTAAATGAAAATTCAACCATGTATGTTATTTAGAAACAACAATTTTTCTTAATCCATAGTCCGTTACACTCAGATATACATCACAAATAAGGAAGGAAAGATCTGTTGCTACTTCCATTTCAGTGTAACTTTAAATGCATGCATTTAAACAGTGATTGTGTTGGACAACTCACTAGGCACAGATTGTTATTACGTCTGTAAAATCAGAAATGAGAAATCATCCGCCACGTGATGTTCTAAGGAAACATTGGTGACTTTAGCAATATCTAACCTTTTAAAAATGCGACGAAAACACGCGCTCTGAACAGACGTCATGGTGATGTATGTGTTCTGTCAGGATAGGTCAGGCAAACATGATATTTGTTATATTTTTTATTTACTCCAGGCCGCCAAGTTTATCTTAATGTTAACATGTGACAGTTCACAGTGTTTAAAAGTTATGCTGTTTGGGACTTGGGCAGACCTTTCATAATAGTGAGCAAACAAACAGTAATAAACAATAACAGCATTCCTATCATGCATCTGTGCTGCTGTGCTGTTTGAACAGCTTATGATTTCACCCATAATTCTGTTGTGTCTAATACTGATTTGTGTTTTTAGTGACTTGATGATGAGGGACAATCTTTTTGAACTGGTTACTACCTCAAGAACTTTCTACATTCAGGTAGGAATGCATTAATTCTTATTATTTAATTCATATTAATTCTTCACCCTCTCTATTAGGGTGTGCCTTAATGTTTGATGGTAAACTAAATGCATACTCTTTCTTACAGTAGTGTTTTAGTGGCGGGTTAAAAAATAATAATGTTGCTTTATATGATTTTAGAATAGTCTCATGAGTGTTTTTCAACAAAGTAGTTTTGAAAAATAAAGTTGTGACATTACAATATTAAAGCAGTGATTATTTTAAACATAATAACACTTATGTTATCATACTATTAGAAAATTGTTCTCAAAATTAACATGGCACTAAAACACTGACTTTCATAAAAAAAAAAAATCTGAAAATCGAAATGAAGTATAATAAAACATTAAAGGGATGAAGTGATTTGTGAAAAACACAATACTTTTCAAAAGTTTGGGGTCCATAAAATGTTATGTTTTGTATAAATGTATATTCTCTTTTGAGTAATTTAATGCACCTTTAATGCATATACATATATAAACCCTTTAATATTGCTTTCTGTGTTTTATCATTGGACTCTGTGTTTTTAATGTAAACAACTTTTAGTTTTGAAAAATAAAGTTGTAACATTACAATATTAAAGCACTGATTATTTTAAACATAATAACACTTATTTTAGCATACTATTAGAAGATTATTAATATTCTCAATTATTCTGTGTTTTTAATGTAAACAACTTTTATTGTAATGGGACAATAGTTTTGGCTATTGTTTAGTTTTGTCCCATTACGTTACTTTATTTGCAGTGGAGACACATTACGTCTTTAGAAATGTTATATCAGATGGAATAAAACATTTACATTTCTTGACTCATTTTTAGCAGCAAAAACCTGATTTCTTGTCTAAATAAAATGACTGGAAATCACATTTGTGATCAGAACGATACGTTTATGTTATGTTACCTTTTAATCTGAGATGGCTCTTAGTCTCAAAGTTTTGAGAGCCACTGATCTAAATAATTTCAAGCAACGTTTTAATCGATTGTTTTTAAACGTTAAAACATTTTAACAAAAATGAAAGCTGTCTGTATTTTCTCTGTCTCAGTCGGACAGCCCAGACGAGATGCACGGCTGGATCAAGGCTGTCTCTGGGGCCATAGTGGCCCAACGGGGTCCTGGACGCTCAGCAGCCTCTGTAAGAATTGACATTGTTTAGTGACATTCTGAGTTCTCGGTTGTTTTGTGCTCTTCCGGTTTGATTTGTCTTTTGTGAAGTGTTTTGTAGCCACACATCCTGTCCATGTCCAGCCCAACCATGTGTCTCTTCAAACGTCACTCATTTATGTTTACTGCTGGAATGACCAAAAGGATAGTTTACCCTAAAATTAAACATTTGTCATTGTCCGCTCAAAAACTGGCCCGATTTACCAGACTGCCCATTCTAGTATATCCTCTTTGTGCCTGTCTGTCTCTGTTCTCTTTTTCTGCCGTGTCGGTGCCTAATGAATGTGCGCTATGTTACAGATGCGTCAGGCCCGCCGGCTCTCAAACCCTTGTATACAGAGGTATACATCCTGCAGTGGTGAATGCAGCACGTATGTGTTGAGAACAAACCCCTTGCGCTTTGTCCCTGTTTGTTTGCATCCAGCCCCTGCTTAGACTTTAGAGCTAGATCTGAGCAGGGTAGAGGTGCCTCACCTAAATAATCCAACCCTGCAGACAAACCAAACTAAAACCAAACCTTCATGTCATTCTATAGTGAGCTTTGACATCCATCATCCCCATTTTCTCTTTTAATATACTTTGGTACATCCATACTAAACATCTCACAAATTCATCTGATTACCCACACTTCTGTATAACAGGGTTATTATAGTCAACTAAAACTAAAACTGAAGCTAAAATCACAACCATAAAAGTAGAAAGTTACTGAAATCAAATAAAATATCGAAAAAAAAGTTTTATTTTATCTAGTCACGAAGGTAGCATTTCTCAGTTTAATTTAGTTTAACTTGATGTACTAAAATAAACCAAAACTGAAATAAAAAAATGAAAACAAAAACGTAATATAAAAATAAAAACTGATTCAAAATGTGAATAAAAAAAAAACATCTCTTTTAATATACTTTGGTACATCCATACTAAACATCTCACAAATTCATCTGATTACCCACACTTCTGTATAACAGGGTTATTATAGTCAACTAAAACTAAAACTGAAGCTAAAATCACAACCATAAAAGTAGAAAGTTACTGAAATCAAATAAAATATCGAAAAAAAAGTTTTATTTTATCTAGTCACGAAGGTAGCATTTCTCAGTTTAATTTAGTTGAACTTGATGTACTAAAATAAACCAAAACTGAAATAAAAAAATGAAAACAAAAACGTAATATAAAAATAAAAACTGATTCAAAATGTGAATTTAAAAAAAAACTGCTGTCCAAGGCTCAGTGAAACATATATTTAATAACATTGATTTATAGTTCGACATTCTAATGTAATTTACTGAATTTAATCAATTAATTGGTCTTTAAAATGACAACAATATTGTTTATCGCAATTATTTCTGGGGCAATATATCGCACAACAAAAAGTTGTTATCGTGACAGGCCTACACTGTAAAAAAAATTCTGTAGAATTTACAGTAAAAAACCGGCAGCTGTGGTTGCCGGAATTTTACCGTAAAAAATACGTTAGCAACGTTTTAGATTTTTACGGTTTTAACTTAAATTTACAGCTAAATACCGTAATTTAATTAATTGATAACTGATTAACTATAAGTAATTTAATTAATTGATTTATGATAATTAAAAAATATTTATTCAATGCAAAAAATATTTTTATAAAAGTAATTTAAATATATGCAAGAAAGACAATTCAGTATGCAAATATCAAAGACATTAATATTATGAGATTAGATTGTAAACTAAATGCATACACTTTATTACAATAGAGTTTTAGTGGCAGGTTAAAAAAATAATAAAGTTGGTTTATCTTTTTTTTGGTTTTATGTTTTCTCATAAAATGTTATTATTCATTTTTGCAAAATTATCAAATTTTTGCTTTATTTTATTTGAACTTAGCTATAAAACGTTGTCATTTTTTTTATTTGAGTGAAGAAAGACAGTATATGAAATTAATAAAATATGAATTTAAGTATATGCAAGAAAGACAATTCAGTATGCAAAAAGACAAGAAGACCAATCACAGTTTAGTTTGTCAGTTTTACTGTGACTCAATTATAAAATATGCGATTTATAAAAGATGGATTGATAAATATTACACTGGAGCACATTCTAACAGTTCACTTTTTTTTTTACTTAAATCCTAAACTTATTAGAAAAATTTAGTGTTTATTAAAAAAAAAAGCCATAACACACTGAAATGATCTAATTAAGGCTGAACGTAGTCTGTACGTGAATCTGTTCGGGCTGAATTAATTTTAGAAATTTATGGAGAGGAAGAATAATAATAGAATGTATTAGGGATATCCGTACAGTGCTGCATAATATAAAAACAATGATTGAATCTTGAAGTTTGCCAGCACAGCAGGACATTATTTACCAGTGGCTCCACACTGATTCATAAAAATATTTAATAATGTCTTTTCAAAAACTTTCCCATTTGTCATCTGGTAGTTGAGCATTACTCTACATGTTTATAAACAGTGAGTCATTTCAATAAACTCTCATCATGAGCACATCTGGAAATTATTCATTCAGTTTAATAGATGTAGTACACAATTGTGAAATTTCAAGTTTATATTGAACTTTATGCAAGAACTCTTGAATTCATTTTGTTGACTTTAATTAAACTGAAATCTAATTGTCAAATCTTAAGTAAATGATACGATTATAGATAATAAAGTGGACTCTTATAAACCACCTATATAAAGATTCACCTATATTTTTAACTCATACAGTACACTGTATCAAATATGTTGAAAGCCAAAAGTTGACCCGTCCAGATCTTTTGTCAAATTGATGTTATTATTCTTTCCCTCCACCTTCAGGTCATAGGGTTTGAACAAGAAATAATTGTGCTTAGTTCTTTGCTCTGTTAGGCCGTGGTTTGTTGTTCGCTGTTTGTAAGTTTAGGTCTTTGGATATTTGTCTAGAATGGCCAAATAGTCGTAATTACTACTGTCACACTTTAGTTTGAGGACCAATTCTCACTATTAACTACAACTTTTGCCTCAATAAACTCCTAATTTGCTGTTTATTAATAGTTAGTGAGGTAGTTTTTAAGTTTAGGCATGGGGTAGGATAAAGGAATCTCAAATATTGGCATGCAGAATAAGGCATTACGTGCTTTATATGTACTAATAAACAGCCAATATGCTAGTAATATGCATGCTAGTTAATAGTAAGAATTGGTCCCTAAACTAAAGTGTTACTATTACATAACATTTTTTCATCATATACTATATATAATCTTCAACATATTATCTAATCTGTCATATCATTTTGTATTCATCATGTTTGATGCCCACATTTAACTTCCGGGTTACAATCCATTTCTTAACCTCACCTGCTGTTCTTTTAAAATTATTATTATTATTTTTTTTTTTTATTACAGCACATTACTAAATTTACATCTAAATGTCAGTATTAACGATGCACTAAGTCAATTATTTATTTATTTATTTTAATCAAATCTCTTTGAAATAATGTAGACTCTAGTCATATGTGACTAGGAAAAGCTGTTTTAATTTATCATGTTGAGGTCACAAGTTTTTAAAGGCAATGAAGATAATGAACACTAATGCAGATGAAAACGCTTGCAAACCATAAATAAAAATTACTTAGTGCACCATTTAAGGCATAGTTAAAATAAAACTGTCAAAATGTACTCACCCTCATGGTGTTGATTTAAAATATGCATACACTTCCACATAAAAAAAGAAAGTCATACAGGTTTGGAGTGACAAAGGATGAAGAAATGATGGCAGAGTTTTCATTTCTGGGTGAGCTATCCCTTGTGAAAAATACGTTTGCTTACTTGTATTGAATATGCACTTATGCACACAAGTATATTTTAAAAACTTTACTTGCAGATAATATCATATGTATGAAGTTAAGTGTACTTAAGTACACTTTTAAGAAACAGTCTTTTTAAGTACACTTAATTTCATAAATATTATATTATCTGCAAGTAAAGTTTTTAAAATATACTTAAGTGCATATTCAATACAAGTAAGCAAACTTCTTTTTCACAAGGGATAGCTCACCCAGAAAGTACACTATTAACACTTATTTTGATTAATTGACTAACATACTAAAGCACATGTGAAGTACTTACAGTAATTGTAATTGTTAACTCTTTGGGTAACACTTTATTTCGATAGTCCACTTTAGACATTATATTAACAGCAAGTAACTTTGCAACTACATGTCAACTAGTAGTTAGTAGAGTATTAGTAGACTGTCTGCTTAATATCTTCTAACACGTTCTTTGTCAACTTATTCTACTAACCCTAAACCTACCCTAACAGTCTACTCTGAGAGTTAGTAGACATGTAGTTGCAAATTAATGAGAATTAGTTGACATGTAGTTACAAAGTTACATATAGTTAGTAGAATGTCTAAAGTGGACTATCGAAATAAAGTGTAACCACTCTTTGATGTGTTATTGATAGTTTAAATGTACAAACTTACAACTTTATCATTACAAATGTGCTATTACAAATGTTTTAAAACATGACATACAAGTTTCAATAAAAATTGCTTAAAAGTATATTTCAGTTTACTATAAATGCTTGTCACTTTAGCCATATTTCAGACATAATTATGAAATTACATATCAAAATGTACTTAAGTCCTACTGAAGTGCATCAAAGAAGCACAGAGTTCAACTAATTGCATTTAAAATACATTTAAGCTATAATTAATGTTCATTTAATTGTAAATTAAATTCATTTTGCACTTAAGCATGTTCTTTTGAAGCATATTGTTTCCATAATAATTACTCTTTTTAAATGAATTCTTAAGTATGCTTCTTTTTCACAAGGGATTTCATTAATGTCAAGGCCTGTTCACACCAACACAAATGTTCGTCCAAAAAAATTGAGTTCGTTTTTAGCTATTTTTATATAATGTTTTTGCATTTCTGTTCAGACCAATGCAAAAAAAAGAGAAATTTGAATGAACGTCTTTTTGTTGTCAGGCCTTTAGTTTTGAATTTAAAAATAATAAAAATGAAAACTATATATGTTGAATCCTTTTTCTGTCCTTGCCTTCCTCGAATGCTGTCTCCTCTCATTTTTCCCTTTCAGAGATTAAACGTGACACTGAGACACTAACAACCCAAACACAAGCCTAGCAGCTGTCCTGTTCCTGCTATATCCCAGACTGATCTCCAACCTCCTATCTGCTGTAGCTTTCACTGCCACTGCTCGCTGACGTGACTGCCGCCCATGTACTAAACTTCCTGCTCTTCCTCTTGCTTCACCTGCTCTTGTTCTTGAGATTTTTCCTCCATCTTCCCTTTCTACCAAAGCGGTTTCCTTTGTCCTGACTGACGCTGCGTTCTTTAACCGTTCCTCAATCTCCACAGGAGCATGCTGAACCCACCTCCATCTTCTACTCCAACGAACAGAGTCTCTCAACTCCTTGCTCACCCCTCCCCACTGAACTCCATTACCCAGAATGCCGTTCCCCCTCGGGCCCTCAGCATGGCGTGGGAGGGGCCAGACCTGAACAGCCTGCGCCTGGGGCCACGAGTGCGCCTGTCGCTGCAGGAGTCGCCCCAAATCTTCTTCAAGTAAACGCTGACGACTCGTCACCATGGCAAATCAGAAGCGGCGTAACACAGCCTTCAGATATCCCACAAGAAGAAGACCTGCATGTTACCCAGGTGTAACGATGTACTTCGTATATAACACACACACACACACACATTACAACAAACTGCTAACGCCAAAATCAGGACAGGGACTTGGGTTGAATGTGAATCGAGCCCAGTGCACCATGGGATATGGAGTTTTCCCCAATCAAGCCTCTTAAAAAAACTGCAACAAGTTCAAACCAGAAAATTCATTGAGACACAAAAAAGTTGCTGTTACCAACAGTCAGTTATTTTCCTGTTACGACCAAAAACCGATATCATAGTTAATATTATAAATCTATTGTGTTTTTTTTCTCCTGTTTTTAAATCTAAAATACCATGTACATAAAGTGAATTTAGTGGAATCAGGCATCAAAACACTTAATGTACAGTCAAAAACTGGAAAATATGTTGTTTAATAAAATAAAGTATGTATTTTTATTTAGAAAAAAGCAGATATATAATAAAAATAACTTAATATTAAAACAGTAGTTTCCAGTATTGACCTAATCAAACTGATACTGATAAATAAATTATATGCTACATATTGCTGATAACAATAAGGCCACTGAAATCCTTGAATCCATAAATTCTGGTTTCTGGGGGG